TCCTTCTTGGAGTCAGGGGCCCAACACTGAACCCAGCACTCGAGCTGCAGCCTCACCAGTGCCCAGGACAGAGAGAAGAGACTGGGAATCCTGCCAGTTTTGGGCAGTGCTGGGACCTCTGATGCCACATTAAACCTGTCCAACACTGCACGATGCCGCATGGCTCCGTACATCCCCAGAGCTCATCTTCCAGCCCCAGGATGGAGTTTTATGGTCCTGGAGGGATTCAGGCTCTGCCAGCGAGGGCTTTGCAACCAGACAGGGTGCAGGGGAGCGCTGCCGGGTCATTCCACGCTCTCAGCAGGACTCGCTGGGCCAGGTCGTGCTTTGGGCAGGCACGTGGGTCCGTCTGCGAGAGACAGACCCTCAGCCCGGTGTGACCAGCCCCCCCGGAGCCGCGGGTTTTACTCGGCTGTTTGAAAACACCAGGGACATGATGCAAACCCAGCCCTTGCTTGGGAGCACGTCTTGTATTCTCTGAAGTGCAGGATGGGACTGGACAGGCAGGATTTAGCCGGACTTTCACCTGACCCCGGTGATCTGTGATGGGAAATCAACTGATGCCGGCGCCCAGTGAGGATGGGGGACTCCATCCACCCCCAGTTTCCTGGGGTCCCCCCAGCAACAACCTCCTGCCCTGGCTCCGTAGGTGAGATTGGCTCACTGGAGCCGTTGCTGGTGCATCCCAGGGAGGAGAAGGAGAAGCAAAATGCACTTTGTCAACCTTTTTTCCCTGGCCCAGAGAGTCATCCCCACTGAGGACAAACCAGAGGTGTCTGCAGGAAGGTCTTGTCCTCTGGATGCTCCTGGGCTTCCCCCTGCTGCGAAGGGACCTCTACGGCATAATTTCACTGTGCCAAGAGGAAGGACTCTGCATGCGGAGGTGGAGCAGACTCAGGGAGCACACAGGGGCATCTCCCCACCCTGAGCTGGGAAAGACATTTCTGGTCCCTGGGAAAAGACATCTGATATGGGACTGTGTCACCTCCTCTGATGAGCTTTCCACACCCATCAGCTCCTGATGACCTGGAGCGAAGGCTGGAAAGGTGTTTCCAGACCAAAGGAGGCGGGTGTGGAGCTGAGGGATGCACGGGGTGGGGTGTCCACCGGCACTGCTTCCAGAGGAGGATGTGGCACAGAGGGAGAGGGATGATGAAAGCAGCTGGCCATGGCCATGCTTGGCCCTGAAGTCTTACTCTGAAACTAAAAAACAGCTATTTTAATTACTATGAAGAAAATTAACCCTATCCGAGCAGAACCAGGACACCCTGCCAAGCTGCAGCACAACTGAAAGAGCCCAGGGCCAAACTCCTGAATACGGGGGAAAATTTCATCCAGCCACGTGTTTATTTTCCTGCTTGTTATTCCTGGGAGCAGCTCAAGCATTTCTGTTCCAGCTTCACACCACAGAAGACAAAACCTGGGACAGCTTCAGTGCCAGGAACCGGGGATGTAGAGTCACAAGCGGCTGCTGGGAGAGGGAAGAGCTGTGGCATGACCTGGCTGCAGCTTCCCACTGCCATTTAACTCCTTCCCAGCCCTCGGATCTCCCTGCCCCACCATGATCATCCTGGAGCCTTTGGAGATGTCAGCTTGGGCTCTTTTCACTCTTATTTCTCGTTTTTCGGGTTGTGACAGCTGACACTCCCCAGTGTCCTCCCCAACCGGCCGGGCAAGGAATGGGATGTAATCGCAGGGAAGCGCTTTGCTTTGGGAGCTGTGGTTTAGGGAAAACCCTCGAGTACCTCATTTGCAATCAGCAGTTCCCAGGACTGAGGACACCTGGCAGGGAGAAGTTGAGCTTCATCTTGTTGGAGCCTTTGGAGGTGCTCAAACAAGATCTGTGCTGTTTGTTGGCTGGTTTGGTTTTTTTTTTCCCCCTAAGGCAATAAAATTTACTGGTTTAAGAGCATTCCCACACCTTCCCACGGGTGCTTTCTGCAGAGACCATCTGCACTCCACCATCCCACACGCTGCCATGGCTCTGGGTGTCCTTCTGCCTTTCCTGGGATGGGGCAAGGAAGGGCTGGGTGTGCCTGATGGCACTTTGATTTCCTCCAAAAGATTCATAAAAGTCATTTCTCTTTCTTTTCCATGTCCTGTGCCTTCATGTCCCCAGCTGTTCACTGTCAGGAACTAAAACACCCTGTGCACCAGGCCCTGGTTCCCTCCAGCCACTTTGGCCAGTTCATGTGTAGCTCAACATCTCCTCTCCTGCCATGAAAACACCTCCTGGCCTTTCATTTCACTCTGCTTTGTTTTTGTTTTGGGTTTGTTTGGGTTTTTTTTGGCTACAGAAGGAAAAGAAGAGGCCTCTGCTGTAGAAAACAACCCCTCGAGGGTGCCACAGGGGAAACCAGGAGAGCGGAGCTCCATCCTCTATTCTGCTGGACAGTTTTTCTTTGAGTACCTGGTGGTGGTGTCACTGAAGAAGATGTCAGATGGACGTTATGAACCCAAGATAACCTACCAGTTCCCAAAGGTACTTAGTCCCATGTTTTCAGGAAGATGAGTTTTCTGAATTTAGAGGAAAAGGGGATGTTGCTCCTTCCCCATCACTAGAGCTGGGGGATGAGAACAGGAAAACACCCCATGTCCTGGAGCCGCAGACCCCAACCCCAGGGCTCTGCCTGCCATGGGTTGGGGTTCCTGGGACCATCTGTCCCTCTCTGCAGTCCAAGCCCTGGGCCACAAACCCCAGGAGGAAAATCCCAGGGTGTTCCTTGGTCTCCTGTCCCAAAAGGGGAGATGATGGCAGCAAAATCGCACCTGGGGAGGTGGCACAGGAAGAGACCTCCTGTTTGCAGAGGGGCCCCTGGGTGCATCTGCTTTGTTCCACTGTCCATGGGGTAAAAGAGTCAAAAAAATGGATTTTGGGGAGATGCCTGTCCAGGGATGTACAAGCACCCTCTGCTTTGGTCTGAGCCAAGGGCTGCTTTGGAATACACCCCATCCCACCCCATCCCCTGGGGCTCTGGGCACCTCCATCACCCTGACTCTTGGCATCGCTTCATTCCAGCGTGAGAACTTACTGAAGGGCCAGAAGGAGGAGGAGGAACGTCTCTTGCAAGCCATCCCCCTCTTCTGCTTCCCTGATGGCAACAACTGGGCCCCTGTCACCGAGTTCACCAGGTACCTGTCCCGCTGTGGGGTCTTCACCGTGGTTTCCCACCCTGTGCTTTCATAGACCTGAGGGCTGTGGGCTTGGAGAACAGTCCCAACCCCGGGCACTGTCTCTCCTTGCAGTGAAACCTTTTCTTTCGTCCTGACCAATGTGGATGGCAGCAGGAAGATTGGCTACTGCAGGCGGCTGCTGGTGAGCATCCCCCTGCCCATACACCCATCGCTGGGTCAGTGGTGGCCATGCCACCCCATCCCCATGGTGGGACATGATGCCTTCTGCCATGGCCTAAGTCCAACTCTTGGGGAATGTGCCTTAGAAAGCATTTTGCTTTGACAAAGATGCAGCAAGGGGTACCCAGAGGGATTTTTTTGGAGCTTCCTTCTGCTGAGGCATCAGTTGGGTGCTGGATGGAGGAAAGCAGGGTTTGCTGTAGCCCAGGAATGGCCTGAAATGCAACCAGGAGATGCGATGGTTGGGAGGTGCCATTCTCCATACGGGTGGTTGCTGCCTCCCTACTGATCTCCTGCAGCTTCCCTCACTTCTTTCCCTTGGCCACAGTGGTGACAACAGCTGCAAATCCCACTCGAGATCAGGATGGGGATGTGCATGTGCCCATCCAGCTGCCCAGGAGCTGGGTGCCCTCAGCCCTGTCCCCAAAAATTGCTTCTGAGCAGTGGCTGTTTCTCAACTCAGGATTTGGCCATCTTGGGGGCTGCGAGGCACAATGGAGATCTTCCTTGGCTGCTGATTTACACACAGCCTGCTTGGATAGGGACATAAAGCCATGGGGCCACAAGCCACGGCTCAGTGACTTGCTGGGTTTCACCACCTTTCCATTCCCTGGTGAACCTGACCACTTCTGCATCCAGAGCTGAGCTTTGGCTGTTTGAACGGGATGTCTGGAGGGCTGAAAGCACAGAGAGCAAACAGACCTGGGATAATCCAGTTGGAAAGGGAAAAGCAGCCTGGGCACTCATCCTACTGGTCCCCGTTTCAGTAGGAGCCAGGATTAGCCCCCAGGATGGTGGGGCAGGAGGTCTCAGAGGATGCCTGCCCTGGGGGCAAGGAAAGTTTGGGAATATGCCGGAGGGCTTTGCACCAAAATGATGAACAGCTTTGGGCACCTTCTGCTTTTACAGCATCAACTGTGTCCTTGGCCTGAGCCCCGGCACTGAAAACCCCCCAACAAGTGACTGGGTATTTTGGAGGGGCAAGTGGGGCCAGGGTAGATCTCTGGGGAGAGTGTGGAGCTGGTGCAGTGAGACTGGGACATCCTCAAACCCTTTTCCAATCCTCTTGCAGCCATCTGGCCGTGGTGTCCGCCTCCCTGAGGTCTTCTGCATCATCAGCTGCCTGGGCTGCTTCGGGCTCTTCTCCAAGGTAAGGATGTGGTGGCTCCATCTGACACAGTGGTGGCTCCATCT